GGATGACTTCCCGTAAGCCAAAATTCTAGATTTCGCAGTTCTAAACGCCATCAGCGTACCTGGTCACACTCGCTGCCAGGGTGCAATGGCAAAATAGAACCGTTCGTCCCATCCGTAATGCCAGACCAACGCTCGACGACTGCAAGTCACGACCATGAGGTCGCTTTCCATTTATGGCGAGCGGATCGCTCAATTTAGCAGGTGCTGATGGCAGGTTTGATACGCGGACCTCAACCGAGGCTAAGCGAGCGTTTAGAGTCGTCTGGAGATTTGGAAAGGGGGGTCGACCCCCCCTGCTAGATTTAAAGTTTAGAGACGGTTTTTGCTCGGCGAGCCTCATCAAAACTTGGTCTAAGCGAGAGCGTGACAAGACGGCATCTCGGCTTGATGCGTTTAGAGATTTAGAACTGCTCAAAACGCGTTCTAAATGCTTACGGGAAGTCATCCATTTCCGCCGCCCGATCTCCAAGGCGTTCCTCCTCAGAGCCCGGCATGGCGTCGCGTATGACGCACGCGCTGTCAGTCATCCTCGCGTCTCCGTAATCTCGTTTGACGCACAACTGCCTGTCCCTGGCGGGCGGCCGATCATGCCGAACCGCGTGGCGATCATTACATGTACCTCCTCGTCTTGTGCATGTGATTCACGATTCAGTTTGGCTTTGACTTTGCGTAGGACTGGATGACTTCCCGTAAGCATTTAGAACGCGTTTTGAGCAGTTCTAAATCTCTAAACGCATCAAGCCGAGATGCCGTCTTGTCACGCTCTCGCTTAGACCAAGTTTTGATGAGGCTCGCCGAGCAAAAACCGTCTCTAAACTTTAAATCTAGCAGGGGGGGTCGACCCCCCTTTCCAAATCTCCAGACGACTCTAAACGCTCGCTTAGCCTCGGTTGAGGTCCGCGTATCAAACCTGCCATCAGCACCTGCTAAATTGAGCGATCCGCTCGCCATAAATGGAAAGCGACCTCATGGTCGTGACTTGCAGTCGTCGAGCGTTGGTCTGGCATTACGGATGGGACGAACGGTTCTATTTTGCCATTGCACCCTGGCAGCGAGTGTGACCAGGTACGCTGATGGCGTTTAGAACTGCG